GGCGAACCATGTTTCAAGTCGTGGACGTAGTGGCTGGCCTTCTCACTTTCCTGCGTCCATGCTCTCTCTCCATGCACTCTCTCTCACTCTGTCCCTCTCTGGTCAAATTAAAATAAATAAATAAAATAATTTTTGAAAACAAGATATCTCTTGGCCCCAGCTGCTCTAATGTTTGGAGACTGCTGCCCAAAATATCCTCCATATATTCAAATCCAGTCAACATTATATATAACAAGTGCGGCTGAGTTGTAGCAACTAGCAACTACATTGTCTTTTGTAGACATTTATTCATTTTAATTTTTCAATATATCTTTTCAAGCCCATGTACTTTTCAATTTGCCAGAGGCTGTGTCCACTCACCAGAGACAGAGAGGTAGACAGGGAGAGGGAGGACACACCCCCCTGGTGGGGCATGGTTATGCCACAATTCCTTCTCCATTTGTCTGTCTTGTTGGGATTCGGAGCACACACACATGCCCAGCGTGTTTTTCAAGTCCCCAGGGCCAATATCAGAACTGCGATCAGCCATGTGAAATCTGGTTCCTTTAACCACTAAACTACAGGTTTGGCCTCACTTTTTTTTTTCTTTTTCAACCTCAGACCTATAATGCCTGATGAGGAAAATACCGAAGTTCTAAGCAATTTAGTTTTTCCCAGGATAAAACTCCGGGAGAGAATGGCAGGATGAGCAGAGAGGCAGCAAGGATCCAGAGTTCAGACAGTCTCATAGGCCATACCACTGATTTGGACTTTCCTGGACTTTATGGCAAACCCTTAGAGAATTTTGGTCATGGGCCAGCAGGTGGCATGGTGGTGAATGGCACTGGACTCCCACATGGCCGACGCGGTTCAAGTCCCGAACCTAGCAACTTGCTTTCTTGCTCTCTCTCTCTCTAGCTCTAGTAATTTTTTAAAATAATAATAATAACAAATGGAATTAAGTAAATAAGGAATTATTTTAAAAAATAAAAGAATTTTGATCAGGAGAGTATCCTTATCAGGCATTGCTAGAATGTAACTCTCTGTGAAAATAGCATAAGAGATAGATTGGAAAATGTATATACTAGAGACAGGGAAATTTGATAGAAGGCGGATGTAGAAGTGAGATTGGGTGAAAGCGAGTCACAGGAACCTATGGGGGTGGGGGAGTGCAAGAAGAGGCAACATCCTTAAATGGAAGGGATCTCTAGGATGAGCATCGAGAGATCAGATCTGTTCCAGTCCCAAATCTGCCATGTGGGACCCTCTTTGGGCCCTAGTTTCTCCATCTGCAAAACAAGGCGGTTCTCTTTATTGATAACCCCTCCATATTGCTATTACTATTACTATTGCTTAGAAAAGCAAGCATGTGCCAGCAGGTGGCTTGGTGGTGGTTAAGGCACTGAACCTCCACATGGTCGACTGTGGTTTGAGTCCCAGACCTGGTTTTTCATTTTCCCTTTCTTTTCCTCTGCCTCTCTCTGGTCAAATTAAAAAAATAAGAGTAACAAATAAAATATTCTTTTTTAAAAAAGGACAGAAAGAAAACCCACCATGGTGCCAGCAGGTGGCATGGAGGTTAAGGCACTGGATCTCACGTGACCAACTGTGCCGTTTGAGTCTCAGACCCAGCAGCTTGAAAATCATGCTGGACACTTGTGCATGAGTCCCTGAAATCTGGAAAGGAAAATGGAGGACAAGGGATTATATTGGCTATTCCTTTGTGGGGGGAGGGGTAATTTCTCACTTCCTCTCTTTATGTCTGTCTCTGGCAAGACCACATGCCCTATAGCAAAAACTACAAGAAAAGTAAGAAAGAAAAGAAAAGAAAATCAAACACGTATGTCAGGAGGACTCCTGACAGATCAGCCCTTGATGGAACTGGGAAGGAGCATGCTGGCCTTTGTGTTCTGGTTCAGATCCCCGTAAAATAGGAAGCACCAGCACTTACTGTTATCTACCCTTCCAAGTCGGGGGAGACGAGCTACCTGGGCCTACCACAAATTGTCTGTTGGCATTCGACAGTGTCGAGGACATGGTGCGCTGATCTCACTGTGGCGTTTCTCCTCACAATAAAAATGACTCGTCTTTGTAGACTGATAAGAAAATGGGAACCTGGGAACCAGCAGTTAGCATAATGGCTATGTCGCTGGACTCCCACACAGTCGACCGCAGTTCGTATCCTGGACCCAGTGGCTTAAAACTCATGCTGGGCGAATGTGCATGTGTGCCCAAGATCCCGAGAGGAGAATGGAGGAGAAGGGATTGCGGCGTGACCATCCCTCCTGGGGGTGATTTCTCGCTTTCTGTCTCTCTGTCTCTCTGTCTCTCTGTCTGTCTGGCAAGCGCACGTGCCGTATAGCAATAATCTCTCAAAAAAAAAAAAGAAAGCAAGAAGAGAAAACGGGAACCTCTGGACACTGTTCTAAGCATTGCATGTGCATTATCTCCTTCCATGTTTACCACAGCTCTTGAGGCAGGGACTAATCTTATTCATATTTTAGAGCTGAGGAAATTAAGATCCAAAGAGATTAAGTCAGTCTACAGAGTTAGTAAGAAATGGAAATGGCATTCAAACTCAGACATTGTGCTAACAATTACGCTTCACTGCCTTTCACACCAGACAACTCTCGTAGCTGATCTTTTGCTTACACGCTATGATTGAACAGCTTGAAGAATTGCTTGTGTGGGTGGCCCAGCAGATGGCGGGGAGGTTAAGGCAATTGGATCCCATATAGGCGACTGCATGGTTCAAGTCCCAGACCCAGTGGCTTAAAAGTCATCCTGGATGCTTGTGTGTATATGCCCAAAATCCTAAGAGGAGAATGGAGAAGAGATTGCAGCATGGTCACTTCTTATGGGGGCGATTTCTCTCTCTTTCTCTCGCTCTCTGATTTCTCACTTTCTCTCTTATGGCACTCACTGTCTCTCTCCAGTGAGCACATACATCCTATAGCAAAAATTACCCAAAAAAAGGGAAGAGATTGAAAAAAAAAAGAATTGCACAGGTAATAGTGCCTTCTGAAGGGTGTAACCTGGACTGAGCAGAGGGTTTAGAGTCAGGTAGGCTCTCTATCCTAGATATATCCCAGCCTCTATATTCTGGCTCTGTTTAGTGTCAGGTAGGGATTACAATGAGGGCTCAGAGAAGTTATAAGGTTGAGGTCAGAGCAAGAAGACCTGGAAACTGTTTCTTAAAGTTCTCCCACAGTCCAGATTCCCAGTCGTGCATCCCAGAGGGCAAATGCACTTGGGAACCCACCCGGGTTACCAACCTAAGCCTTCTGCCTTTTTAAAAAGAAAATAATTATTTATTTAATTTTATGTATCATTATTATTATTTTCTAACTTGCTACAGGGCATGTGCACTCACCAAAGAGACAGAGGGAGAGACAGTGGAAGGGAAAGTGAGAAAGCAAGCTACCAGGTCTGGGATTCAAACCTCAGTCAGCCATCTGAGAGTCCAGCATCTTAACCACTATGCCACCTGCTGGCCCAGGCTTCTGCTTCTTAAGCAGCAAAATATAAAGATAAAAGGATAATCAAACTCTATGACCGTGCGCGCGCGCGCGCGTGTGTGTGTGTGTGTGTGTGTGTGTGTGTGTGTGTTGGTGACTCTTTGAGCTAAAAAGAAAATCCCCTTTTCTGTCTCTTTCTATCAAGGCTGCTGTTCATAAGTCCACCCCTCCTTTAACCTTTTCCCATTTCCTTGCAGATTCCGCCTCTCTCTGCCAGAGCCCAACCGCAGCAATATCGAGGTAGGAGTCAGAGTCCTCAGGGTTCCCTGGCAAGGGAAGAAGGAAACCTTCCATATAGTAGAAGAATGATCGTTTCTGTCCCTCTGATAATTGATTTCTCTGTGACTTTAGGTTTTAACTTTGAAATTCCTTCTGTAGCTCCTCACCTATGGAACCCATTAACTATAAGAGAGAACTCTCCAATTTACTTTCACTCAAGAAGGAAGACTTTTAAAAGAACAATAAAGACTTATAAGACATTGTGTAATGCTGGACAAAATAGGCATTCTTAGAGGATAGGGTTTGTTTTCTAGACAAAAGAATCATCCAGATTTAAACTTACAGTCTAGAATCTCAAAGGAGGAGGCTATATGTAAACTATTGGGCCATGACCAGGTTTGCTCTTCAAAGACTTTCTTCCCACCTCCTAAAATTAGGTTAGTTGTCTAGATACCTTTGGAGGGGGGAGGGAACCCAACTTGGTGAGCTGTATCTGGAAGAAGATACCTCAACAAGCAACTTGGAAACTCCCTTCCCCCAGCGTTCAGAAAGATCAGCCAAGTCTCTACCCCCATTCATTCATTGACGACACTCAGAGAGACGTTCAGGACGCAATGGTGTCTAGTTCATGGTCAGCCCTACACAAATGTTAGCTATTAGCATTATTATTATCCACTCATTCACAACAACTGATTGAGCTTGGCACTGTTCTGGACAAAGCTGAGGAAGTTGCTGCCCTCATGGCACTCAGTCTGGAGCAGCGCTTCTCAGCTGGGTCAACTTAGCTCCCCAGGGACGTTTGGCAATGCCCAAGACCTGGGGTGGGAACAGGGATGCTGTGGGCATCAAGGAAATAGAAGCCAGGGACACTGCTAAACTTCTCAGAGTGCCCAAGACAGCTTACAGCAAGGAATTATCCATCCCCTAATGTCAACAGCACCACTATCAGGAAACCCTGTTCGGGGGTGTGTGTGAGTGAGCGAATACGTGCATGTCACGGTAAGGAGGGCAGACAAACAAATACGTGTTGTATGCACTAAAAAATACTGTAGGCCCAGCCTTCGTGGTGCCTACAGTGGAAGTGTACTGCACTTCAGCGCTGGAAGGCACATGGCTGGCTGTGAGTTCGGATCCCAAGCCAACCTGAAACACACCCGGCACACTGCCCTACATCCTGACTGGCAGAGGGCTGGGAAAAGGGATCGCAGCGTGATGACACCCTGCTGAGAGTCTCTCTTTCTCTTTGTCTCTTAAATGTGCATGTGTGTGTCTGCTCTCTCATGAAAGAAATAAAATAAACTTAAAACAAAAAGTAAAAGTTCTATAGAGAAAAATAAATCAGAATAGGCCGTTGGCATAGGTATGGAGCTGGAGGGTACAACCATGGGGTTGTTAAAAGGGTAGGCTGAGATTGTATATGAAATTCACTTAGCACATTGATTATGTAGAAGATATTAAATAAAGGATGGCCTTTGCTTGTTTATGTATAAGAATTACTTCAGTAATTATCATCTTTACATCAAGAGATGGTTCAGTGTAGTAGTTTCATATGCAAACTCTTGAGACCACACTGCCAGAGCAAACTCGCATTTCCTGGCTGTGCAGCCTCAGACACTTAACCTTTCACAAGGCAGCACCAGGGACAGAGTAAGTACTGAATTTAATTATTAGCATGTTTTTTGTTGTGGATTTTTTTTAGAGAAATTTTTGCTATAGGGTGTGTGTGCTCACCAGAGAGACAAAGAAAGATGGAGAGACAGAAAGTGAGAAATCACCCCCCGGAGGGATGGCCACATCACAATCCCTTCTTTTCCAATCTTTTTTCAGGATTTTGGGCACACATACACACACACACACACACACACACACACACACACACACACACTTGGC